AATGTAGCCAAAAAGGAGAGACTCAAAGCTAATAAATCAATACAGTACCAGGTTCCTGACATGCCCTTTTCTGGCACGTCCCTTAGACTTCCCATGCATATCCAGGAGCAACGTTAACAGGAACAGTCTGTCTGGCACCTTTGGCAGTGCAGAGTCACCAGCACAAGGCACAAGTGTTTCTCTGCAGGCTCACTGCCAACACAAGCTCTCAGCACCTTCGTTTGTGACAGCAAATGAAACCCTGGGGAACAAATTCCCCCTTTCTTGCTTTCTGGTGGGAAGAGGCAGAGTTTGCAGAGCCTGATGATGCTCAGCAAGAAAGTGGAATAATGGGGAGATCCTTGATACACCCCAAGTGCATTCCTCTGCCAGAGCCCACCATGGCATCACCACCTACCCAGCACCTCCCCACTGTGCTTCTGGCCAGTGTTGATTTTTCTCCTGGTGGCTGCTGAGCCTCTAGCACTTGAGTCTATGCAAAGGCTTCAAAGCACCAGAGAATACATCTTTGTGACAGCTCCTATGGTCTCAGCAGCTTGCAGTTTTGTTCTGCTCCCCCTCACACAGCCCTGGCATGCCAGCAACCAGCATTGCTTCTCCCACTACCCCTTGTGTCCCAATCCCAGCCTCCTTCCAGACTGCATTTCTCCCATTTTGCAGTTCACCCACCCAACATCTTAATTTCCCCTTCCCTGTGGTGCACCCTGCACTCACTAAATGCCACCCTCACCCCTTAGCTGCATCACTCTGCCTTTCTGAGACCACAAGCACTAAAAGTTGCCACCTGCCAGAGCTGCTTTGCTGAGGAACCAGTACTTCCCAAAAGTTGCTGCCTTGGCTGGGAAAAATCACTTCAGGTCCAGAGCATTTTCCTGATAAGAGAAACCCCAGCAAACCAGCCCAGCCTAGAAGAATGGCCATTGTGGGAACAGCAAACGAGGGGAGATTATTTCCCTTCTGCGCCAAAAAAAACCCAATCACTCCTTCCCTAGCCAGTTGTGGAAATTTAACCTAAGGGTTTTCAAAAATGACTAGTAATTGTGGGTGCCTGAGCAAGATGCTTCTTTAAAAGGCCTTTATTTCCAGGACACATGTGCTTCTTGCTTTCAAAGGGTCAGCCTCAAGCCAGACAGCCTCACAGAGACCCCAAAGAGCCTCTGAAAAAATCTCAGCAGCCCCAAAGAATGAACATCAAATTCTGAACAATTCAGTAAGCAAGAAAACCTCACAGCACTCAACCTGCTGTGGTCATCCCATCATCTGAGCTGGGTTTCATCAACCTGCTCCCTTTCACAATTCTTGTTATGGTCACTCAAAGCTGTCAAGGGCACCTGGCAAGCAGGAGTCTGGTGGCACAAGGAAGGCTCCATCCCCTTCCCCTTCTCCTGAGCCTCCCAGCAACTGCTGTCTGCCACATCCTTGCAAAGCATGAGCTGATCCTTTAGTAGACAGCTGCCCAAAGGGTGGCTCAGCTAAAGGCCCAGGGGAACCCACCAGCATTTGGAAAGCCCTGCTAGAAAGCAGAAAGCACACATAAAGCATGCACCCCTTGAGCCCTGTCTTGGCTGGCTCCATCCATACACTAAGCATACCAATATCATCACGCCAGCCCAGTCTTGCCTTTGGAAGCACCTCCTGTGAGTGGTCTGCACTCGCCCCCCACGCACAGGAGACCCCCGTAAAGAGCTTCTGAGGTAGCTTTGCAAAACCAACACATCACAGCCCATTGCTGCTGCCTCAGCTCTCCCTTTGCCCTCGTCCCAGCTCTTGCAACATGACATGGCATGGGCTCCCCAGGGCAGCTCTGTGTTTGTGCAGCTCTTGTTTACGGCCGGGACCACAGCTAATCAAACAAGCAAGTGCCCACTCACTGCTCTGGAAGTGGAAACCCAGCATGCTTGTCAAACAAGAGTGCTCTGAATAACCCAGGCCCTACCCTAGCTTTCACAATAGGAATTAGTCACAGTACTCCAACGGGAGCAGCAAATCCAGCAACAGGAGATAAAGTTACAGCAGAGACCTCACTTGTCCTCTCTTGTGCACCTGAGACACCCCTCTCCTTTGGATCCTGCTTCTTCAGACCCTTTAGAGGTGCAGAGACCCTCTGCTCCTGAAAAAGGTGTGTTGGATTTTGCTTTAGGTAAACTGTTGCTCAAGAAGTCAGAGTACAGCAATATCCACATCCTAAGAGTAATCAGCAGAAGTCCAGAGAAGGCCACGAAATTTATTAAACAGATGGAGCACCTCTCTCCTATGAGGAAGGGGGAAGAGAATTGGATTTGGTCAGCCTGGAAAAAGAAGGCTTCAGAATGACCTAACTGTGGCCTTCCAGTACCTGAAGGGAGTCTACAAGGAAGATGGAGAGGAACTTTCTACAAGACACATAGTGGCAGGACACGGGGGAATGTCTTAAAACTGAAAGAGAGCAGTTTTAGACTAGGTATTAGGAGAAATTCTTCCCAGTGAGGGTGGTAAATATTTGGACATTGGGTGATTTAAGGCAATGCAGAGTTATCCTTCCCCTGAAAGTAGAGCCTGTGGATCACCTACAGCTTTGGCAACAAGAGTACTGCAAGCAAGGCTGGGATAATTTTTTATCTGGGTAACTTTTGCTGACACAGGTGTATCCCTTCCAGGTGATGTAACCTGGGCTAGCAGTGGTCAATATGGTGAGTCTTAGGTGAATTCATTACAAGGTCTTTGCTGAGGTACCCATGTTTGTCACCTAAACTGGACTCACATCTGGCTTCTGAGCACAGTGCACCACCTTATGAAACACCAGCAGGTTAGGACTTGTACAAGGGTTTGCTTACAAGTATCATTTACCATCATTTTATTGGGACCAGCAAAAGATTTGCCTGGATGTTTCCTGTCCCTTTGCTGCACACTGCAAATGGCAGGTGGAGAAGCAGCTTTATGCTTTTTAAAGGCAAGAAGGAAAAAGTAGAAATACAACACCTTACAGCGTAAAAGAAACAGATACAAGCAGAGCTGGGGTGGGGAGGACAGGGCAGAGGAGATTACAGCATTGTTCAGCTGAAAATGCAGAGGCCATCACCCCATAAATATATCCAGGCAGGGAATAAGCCACTGAGGGGCCACATCCCATGACAGCCCCAGAGAAGGGCGAGCAGGATCTTCAAGCCTACCTGGTGAAGAAGGTAGCTAGAGGAGCTCTTCTTCTCTGGAAGCTAATGCAGGCTCTGGCACGTGCTTGTGACTGGGGAGAAAGCAGATATATGCAGTGGGGAGAATGTTCCAGCCTCCGCAACATACAGCAGAGGGAAAAGCAAAGGTAGGATGGGGCATGGAGGAAACAGGCAGAGCTGTGGCACAAGCAACCACTGCACCAACTCAGTGGTGTCCAAAAGCCATGTTGGAAAATGTATGTGATTCTAATGTCAAGCTGCATGTTCAGAGTGAAGGCAAATGGACACAAAAAGAGGGAACAATCCAACCACCGAGGAAAATTACAGCCATCGCTGAAGGCAGGTTGGGCAATTCCAACATCTAGAGGATGATAAAGCACAACAAAGAGAAGATTAAGAATTAATCCCTAATTAGCTGCTTCTGAAACCTGATGAAATCACTGCCTGCACCATTTGTTAATGGACTTGTCAGCAAGTTCTGAGGATGCAGGGGTCATGGCAGCAACAGAATGTGCTGCTTTGTTCTCAGGTGAGAGGTCTGTTTTGCCCATTAAGAGCTTTTGATGATTTCAGTTTAGGTGCACTCAAAGCTCTTTCCAGAAACAATGGGCAATGGATTCCACATGCAGCCTCCCTCAGCCACCAGCACAGGGAAGAGAGAAAAATTATCCTTGTAGTTGAAATGTACCTGATTTATCCCATAGCCAGGGGCGCTGCACACATGTTCCTACCCCACTGTGTGAGGACACAGTGTTTCCAACAACAATCAACAGGCACTAAGCAAAGAGCACAAGCCCAGAGTCCCATCTCTGCCACAGCCCAGTTTAAAATGATTCAGAGAAAACATCTGAAAAACAAGTTGTGAATTTCCTCAGCAAAGCCCTGGGCTCATTGCCAACAGCTAAAAAGACCAGCAGGTCTCGAAGCAATACACTCAACTTCCCATCCAAAATGCTCCTAACCAAGCAACAGCTGCCTATTTATCAGGCTGCCTAAATATCCACTTGCCTTTCCAGGCCTGATCACCAAAATCAAGCAAAATCTGCTGTCATGAAGTCTGTTTTCTTTGCTCTGCATCTGATTCAATTGTGTCTTGCTGTTGGAATAGGTGTTCTGCCTCCACCAGAAGAGGGGATGGGACAGGTGCATTTGCTCCAACTTATTTTCTTCTCTGGCCTTATCAGGAGTCTCCACAATCATTCCACATGAGAGAAATAACCCAACATCCCTGCTCTGAGTAGGGTCACCTGAAGCAGGTTGCTCAGGACTGTGTCCAGTTGGGTTTTGAGTATAAAGTACGGAGACTCCACCTGGGAGTCTGTGGGCACCCTGTGCCAATGTTTAACCACCCTCATGGTAAAGAAAAAGCATTTTAGGCAGAACTTTCTGCATTTCAGTTTACCCCTCTTACCCATCATTTGGAACCAATCCATCTTATTTACTGCCTCACCAGGTATTAAAACACATTGGCAATAACCCCCTGAGCCTTCTCTTATCCAGGCTGAACAAGCCTGGCTCTTCCACCCTCTCCCCCTCATCACAGAGGCTTGAATTCCTTTATTGTCTTTGCTGCCCTTCACTGGACCTGCTCCTTTTCATTGGGAAAACCAGCACTGAACACAATGTGCCAAATATGCCTCACTGGGGTTGAGCAGCAGGGAATAACCTGGTCATTCTTTTAACAAGAGTTTTTTGGTTTTGCTAACCCCTAGAACAGCAGCATCTTGTATCAACTCCCTACCAAACCAGGAAACTGCCTTTCCATTGCACACTTCAGCCCTATTTTTCGGACCTTTACATTTTTATGTGAACACATCTCCAATTCCTACAAATGAACAAGAAACAGGAATGTTTTCAAAAACTTTATCCCATCTTTATATTTTCTTCAAAATAAAAAGGCATTTGTATTCTTGAAAACAATAACAGGTTCCATTGCTTTTCTGAACCATATATATAAAGATAAATAGAGTAAAACATACAGTACTGGATTACAGTACTGGGAAGCTAAAAGGCTCTTCTAGGACTGATTTATAGAAGGGAACAGACCCAGAAGGAACAAACTGCCTGAGGACAGGCCACTCTGACACCTCTCAGTGGTTTCAGATAGTCCATTTCTCTGTACGAGCTTCCACACTTTTGACCAGGCCTTCTCCCAAAATCTCAAAGTCCTCCAGAATTGCCTCCACATTGGGAACACAGACCAGCTCGTTGTTCAGAGTTGTCACCTTCCTTCCCCTCATGCTGGAGACCTGCAAGACACAGAAAACATTGCATGAATGGGAGGACCTGCTCAGAGTTGCATTGCAACCTCTCCAGCCCCAAGTAAGAGAAGTAAGTTCCTCTCCTGCCTTGTCACATCCAAACCCTGTTACACCACTGCACCCAGCTCCACAAGTTTTACTTCTAACACTGTCAGTGTTCATTTTTAGAGCTAACAAAGTGCAAAAGTGACCCCTTCCAGCCCCTTTTAGGGTTTACCCTGGAGCCACAGTCCAAAGACTGTGAGGAAGTCAGGAAGCAAAGCAATGGCCAGGGGCATGGTGGAATGACAAGTGTGCAGATGCATGGGAGAGGCTGGATAAGCAGGGCACAAGGAGTATGCAAAAGGGATCACAGCACAAGGCTGAGTAAGAGCTGCTTCTGCTCTTTGGTGGGTGTCAAGACCTCAGGTAGGAAGATATCCTTGGCTCCAACAGTGGCAAAAACAAAATCCTTGTGTTTAATCCAGCCAGACTCAGCTCCGATGCAAGCATCTCCTCCTCTGTTTCACCACTCAATAACTGGGTTTCACAACAGCAGCCAGGCAGAATGGCCAATGCCCTCTGGCCGTGAAGAGAGGGGAGATAAATCACCAGAGACTGACAGAAGAGCCTGGGCTGCCAGCTCTGAGCCATGAGTAACCGGTTTCTTTGTGTCTTTCCTTCATAGAAAGCAGCATGAATCACTCCAGCGTGCCTCACACCTGGCTTAACCACCCTCTAGGGTTTGCCAACCCACACAGTGCAGCTGGAAAACAGCTCCATGCATCAATGAGGACATGGGCACTCTGAACCTAGGCTTCTTGTGGGTTGGGTATTTCTGGTAAGATCCCAAAGCCACAAGAATGGGATAGTCTATTTCCCTTCTCAGTTCTCCTGATGACTGAAGACACTGTGGCCACATCTGTGTCTTGGTTTCTCCCCTTCCAAGAAGCAACAGAACCATGACCTCCATTTCTCAAAGGGCTTTGGAGCTGATGAGAGTTGGACAAAGCAATTACAATACAGAAAAATAAAAAGAGCCCTTCAAGCTTTCAGGGTATAAAGGTAACACAAAGCTTAAAGCAGAGACAAAAACTCACCTTAAAAGGCTGAGGCTGGAAGCTCAAAGGTTTCCACAGAACTGCAATCACTTCCCCTCCATGCTTGTCATAGAAGAACAAGGCAAGATCATCAAAGGCGTTCTGGGTAGAAAACAAACACAGGTTAGTGACAGTGACCCCTCAGAGACAACCCACTGAGTGTCCCTCACTGTGGTCCTCCATCAGCTGACCTGGCACCACCAAGATGTACTTTTCCAGTGTCCAGCAACCATATGCAAAATTTTACAATGCATGAGACAGAAAGAGGCAGGCCCTACCCAGCAGGCAGTCCTGCCACGGTACATTTCACAGCACCAAAGACAAACATGAAACCAGAGACCAGCACCTCAAGATCTGCAACCTGTGCAACCAAGGTATCAAAGCTCCTTCTTCCACCAAGATAAACCCCACGTGAGCTATCAGCACTTTATCCAAAAAGGAAACATTAGAGCAGAGGTTTTAAGTAACACAATGTTCTGTGGGGTGGAAAGAGATGGAAAGCTCAAAAGAGGCACTGCAGCAATCTGTCCTCCTTGCCCCTTGTGTTTCAACAGTGGTGTCAGTGAGCATCTCCTTTGGTGGTGCTGGGCAGCAGAGATCAAAGAGAGATGTTGCACAAAGGGATGACTAAAGCCCAGTCTGGCTTCCCCCAAGCCCACATCAGCTGGATTCCCAGGGTTGCAAGGAGGCAGATGAGCATCACAGCAGAAGGAAACAATGCTGTGTGCAAGCAATTTCTTGAACCCAAAAGTCTGGCCCTACAGCTCATCACCTAATGTGCTGATACCAAGAGATGTGTACCCTGAAAAAGCTGACCAAGACAGCCAAGCAGCTGCTCCCTGATACACCTTTGTCTTGGTGCCGATCAACATCAGGCAACAAGACGTATTTACCAGGCTGAGCAAATAGTCCCCAGCATCAGTACAGGAGAAGTGTCTGCAAAGGGTTTCACCAGCCTTGGAACAAACTATTGCCCAGAATACAGACCCTCTTCTCCCTCTTCAGCCTTCTTCTCCATCACCTTTGTTTCCCAGCTTTTACCAAGAGAGGTCTCTGCTGGCATCATTGTATCATGAGGTTTTCATGAAGATGTGCATGAAAAGAAAATCAACATCAAAGAAAAGCTTGGATGGACTCTTGTATGGACATACTAGGATTGCAGTAGGAAAAAAAAAGGTAGAGTGGGTTGGTGTTACCAGTGATCCAAAAAGGCAAGGTGGCATTTTTAGAACACAGACCTGATAAGAAAGGAGGGGTGGTGTTGTCTGCAATCTTCAGAGACAGATTTGAGTTTGGACTGTTGTTGCCCGCACAGAGGGCAACAAAATCAGGTCATCAAGATGGAAAGATCCCAAGAACTACCAACTCATCCCACTCCATGGGGTTTCATAGGGGCAAGCCTGGTCAAGGCATTATTTCAGCAAACTGGCTAGAAAAACTACTGTCTAAAAATACATTGAGAAAGAGGTAATCCACCCTGGCATTTCTGTACTGAGAGCAACAGGTTCTGCTCAGAGCCCAGTCAACAAGGGAAGACTTCTCTTTTTTTAGCCAAAGAGGGAGGGAGGGAAAGCTCAAGGAAGGGTAATAAAGCTCAGGGCACACTGACTGCCAAGGTGCAGCTTTCTGAACCAAAGGGGAGCAGACATGTGAGAACCTGAAAGAGCCCAGCTACTCTACAGGGCGAGGTCTTCAGCGCCACGCGATGCTCCCTGTGAGAACAATATTTTTTACAGATGCATCTTGCTGGACAGAAGCCAGGAGCATTTGCAGTAAAAAAAACCTCCCAGGCTCAGCTAATTTCCCAATAAAATCACTGTTTGGCCTGATACCCAGCAGGGTTTTTTTTCCCAGACAGCAGGGAGCAGAGGGCAGATGTTAAAAGGATGGCATCCAATTCAAAATCTCAGCGCTTGTCCTGCTCCTAGAGTTGTCCACGTGATAGTGTTTCAAACTGGCCCACAGAGCTGTGGAGTTCTTGAGAAATGGCAGCATTTAAAGGGTCAGGTGTATTAGTCACTGCACTGCTGTTTGTTCAGAGGCTTGGGGAGTAAAAGCAAACAGTTCACCCTCCTTTCCACATCCCACGTTCTCTGCCCAGTGTCACTGGACTTGTCTGAGCCTGCAAACACCTTCTTCCAGGAAAAGTTTCAGAGAAAAGGGAGAAAAGGCAGGGACTACATTTGTTCACTTCTCCAGGTGCTCTATCTTTGGTTGCAATTCGGCTTTCAAGGCCCATGGAAATCCCTGCCATCAACACAACCTACAGCTGGTTCCCATCTGTAATATGGGATATGGGGGACCTACAGGCTCAGGGCTTCAATTTTGAGAGGCCTCATTGTCCAGGGAGAAGGTGTATATGACACCTGGAAGAAGATTAGAACAAGCTCTGTAAGAAATCATCTGGGTTATAGGAATGAAAAGGGTGGAGAAATGCAGTGAGTAAAACAATGCCTGGATCTAAAATGTGATTAACCAGATTAAGCAGCTCCATCTGAAGCATGGATTTTGCAATGAGCTAAGTGAAATTTAGTTAAGTATCTACTAGCTGTTAGGTATCTACATTGTTAAGTATCTACTTGCTGCTAGTTAAGTATCCATTGTTTAAGTAACTACATTGTTTTTTAGGGATAGGGTTTTTTCCATCTGGCCCTTTATCCACCCAGTTTTTTCACTGCTTCTACCAAGAGATTAGGCTCATTGCATCACAGATGCTGGAAGAGCCTTTTAGGGAGGTCTCTGCACACAAAAATGTGTCCTACAGTAGTATTTCCTGGTTCAACAGCAGCTCAGCAGGCAAAAGCATCAATAAACACTTGCTCAGTGCTCAGAGCATTTTAAGTGCTCTTAGCAAGGAACCCACCAGTGCAAAACCTTATTAAAGCTACTTACTTCCAACAACTACAATTGTGGTTAACATTTCGAGGTCTCTGTCATCCTATTGTGACCTGCCCTGATGCTCCCAGTTATGTGACACAGAGAGAGCCTCCTCCACGACCCAACAGAGCAAGGAGCACTATCCAAGTAACCCCACGCTGGGGCTACCTCTGTAACTTACTTTTAAAAGACAAAGGAAACCCTTAGGTTTGGGATTCAGCTGATTAAAGGTTTAAAATTTAATTCAAACTAAGCAAACTTTTCCACCTGGGAGCTACACATAAATCCTTGTCCTGGGCTTTGGTGCAGCAGGAAAGAAACATGGAAAGGAAAGAAGCCACTCATGTCCTCCTGGCTCCATCAGCAAACCTGTCAATCCACCAAATCACTGAGACAAAAGTCTTCTGTCACTTCCTACACGACAAACCCTGCACAGCCTCTGGGAGGGCATTAGCAACACACAAGAAATGCAGCCACAAGTCCCCTGTCAGCTCATCCCGGGAGCATGGGGGGCTCATGCCCCACTGAGCAAGTGGGCACACACACACGTACCCACCCTCAGCCCAGGGCACTATGCTAAGGGTCTGGTGGCAGCTCTGCAGCCCTGAAAGCAGTGATTGATTTCCTGACACCTCTGCCCTTCAAAGGTGCAGATTTAGACAGGAAGTTTCCTGCCCGACATGAGAGCCCACAGAGCTTTTTCAGCTTCTCCCTGTGTACCTGGTGTCACCATAGAAGGAGTCAGCCCTGTCAGTCAAAACAGGAAGGGAGCAGACTGACCTGGAAAGATTTCACCAATCACAGCTACATTACATGTTATAGGAGACAGAGAATTTTTATTATCATTAACTCCTTTCTAACATGCAGTAGCAAGAGACATTTTTACACCATGGGAGGAAGAAAGGAAAGGTCTCCAAGTCTTCCTGATAGGTCTTGTCTTAAGGTGCAAGAAATGCGAAACATTACTTTAGAGGGATGTTTATTGTAAAGCAGGAAGCATTTTCCTGCTCGTCCACCCAGAAAAGATCTCACAAGATGGACAGCTTCTCTGCCACAAGCTCTTCCTCTGGCAGGTGCAGCCCAAGAAAGCTAAATCTCAGTGCATGACAGCACATCCCACCAGTGACCTGGTGAGACCAAAGACCCAGTAAGAAATGTGAGGTCTATTACAGCCATAACAGACAGGCAGATGGACATGGCACAGGCAGCTTCACCCAATTTACCCCACAACGACTGAACAGCTCAGAGAGGTGGCCACTGCCTTTGGTTTTGTGAGCTCCATAATGCAGGCAGACAGGCAAGGCAAGCACATCCACAATCCATGTCCTCTGGATGTTCTCAAGTCCAGAGGACAGCCAAGTCACCCTGGAGCAAAAGCTGCATGGACTGAGCCTTCTAACACCACATCCGCAGCAAACACAGGGGCGTTCTGCAGCTCCACAGCCACCACCACACAGATCAGCAGTCATGATGGAGACTCAATAGGAGCCTCATTCCAGACACTTAAATTTCATTTAGCCTTGCTGGAGAATCCCCACCAGGAGCCAACCCAGGGTTTGCTCAATAAGGCACTTTGAACTGTAAGTGGCAGGGAGGTTGTTGATGGGCTGAATCTCCAGGGAAGCCCTCTCTGTGGATGTCTGGCACCTGCTTGCCCTCAGAAGTGTCTGTCTGCAAAGCCTTCTCCTGTGGACAGGATCATAGAATAGGCATTCTCTATGAGATCTGTTCTGGAATTTAAGAATTTGCTGCCTGAATCCTACAGCCAGCCTTTCATCTCTGCCCAGAGCCTCCCAGGCACCAGAGCAACTCAGGCCAGTTCCTGCAGCACATCTCCTTGAAGCAGGAAAAATTCAAGCAGTCAGGACTCAGCACTTCCTCTCCTTTCATCTTCTACTCTGATTAAGCTCCCTGGAAAAGGCACACAGCAATCCTTCAGCTCCAGAGCACTACTGTCTTGCTAAACCCTTTGACTTTAGAAGAACAGGGGCAAACAGGCTACACAGAAGACTGGATCTCCTGGTTACCAGTCTGAACCAGGGGAAGAAGCCACTCCCTGCCCCTCTCAATTCAATCAAAACACCAAGACATTTAAATCCTGTTTTTGTGTAACTCTCAGTAAATGGCAGATGTTTCTTTTCTGCCCAGAGAAGAACACAAAATCCCACAGCATCTGTGAGGCAGATGTCTCCCTTTGTTGCTACAAACCCACCATGGCTGCACTGTCAGCCATGGCTACAGCCCTGTTGCTCAATTCTGTGGTTTGTGCTGTTAAGAGAGAGCAAATTACTCTGAATCAAAGCCAGTCAGTTCTGCATCCAAACTGCCTTCTCATCCAAGTTCTCTCAGAAGGATTCACTGCTGTCACCACACTCCTTTCTGGCATCAACTTCTTGCAGGGTTTGGATCACCCCCAGGGCTTCCAGCCCACAGGACAAGGAAGAGCTGAACACTGCTTAGAGCAGCAAGAGCCAGGGAAGGAGAAATAAAAAGGTGCTGGAGAGGCTACCAAGCAAAGCCTAAGTCACTGAAAAGGTCTTGCCTTGAAGCAACAGCATCAACACACTGAGATATGAAGTCAGGTAATTTCTAACGGATGGAGTAGCTTCTACGGACCTGGTCCTGCAGTGCAAAATCAGCTTTTGAGGCATTCCAATTTAACTGGATACAGCTGAATTCTCTGAGACCACGTGCAGCATCACCTCTGAGACTCTTCCAGGAAAATAAACACCTGTTTGCCTAGAAAAGCAGATATTTACTAGCTCCTTCAGGACTGCCTGCTGCTGATCTGGATGCTATGAATGACAAGCAAACTATTACTGGAAGATACCTCCAATATGATAGCCACAAGAGAAAAAACAGTATCTAAGAGCCTCAAAGACAAAGAAAAGCCCGCCAGACAGAGATGCAGATTCTGGGCTCTCTGGCTCACAGCTCACTCCTCAGAGAATGCTGCAACCAGTTTCTGACCTGTTCCCTCCTAAGAACCCTCACGTGAAAGAACAAGGGACACCAAGAAAATCAACACTGCTGCCAACAAGCAATGTGACCTTTGCTCATATCCATCTTTCTTCACTGGGATGTTAGCATATTGGGTTTAGGAGCAGCTACAGTTTGCAACCTGACCAAACCAATCCCCATTCTATTATAACCTGTATTAATAAAAACAGGCAGTAAAAGCAGTAAAAATGCAGGCAATTTGGATGTCACTATTGACTGGACCACGTAAATCATAACTGCCTGAAGATTAATGAAAATCTTTTCTCTGCCTTTAACTTCCACAGCCACTTACTGACATCAATTTCTCTAGATGCATAAAAGTAAACCCTATAAACCCCGATGAGCCTCCTGATTGACTGCCTCAATCTACAGCCAGACCTGCAGCAAGCTTCCCCAAAGAGACAGCGCTCCCAATCAGCTCATCCAGCATCCTCCAGTTTCTCTTCAAGCAAGCATTCTTCTTTCTTTTAGGCTTCCGTGAGAATTGCTTAGCCCTGACCCCTTCAGAGATACAGAGGCTCTGTCCCTATGCATCTCCAGCACCTTGGTAGCTGCTGAAAAGCTCTGTTCAGCTCTAGAACCCACTTCCAGCACTAGGCAGAGAAGGATTAAAAGAAGACTTAAAAAATTCTATTTCCTACCCACATCTGCACCTCTTGGCTGAGGTTTCATGGCAGCAGATCAAACATTCATCAAGGAAAAGCGAGGGGCTGGTCTTGATACTACTCCTCAGACATCAGAAAGGAAAGTGAAAGAGCAAACAGTTCCAAATCTGCTTCCACCTCCCTTTTAAAACCCTTGTGAAGGATGCTTCTCCCCTTCTTTCTTGCCCAAGAAATCCCCCAGTGCTCTCTAGAACATATCTGCAGGACCTCAAGGTCCACCTTCCTTCTCAAAGGGAGGAGAGCACTGGGCACCTCCTCTCCCAAATGTCCTTCCAGCTAAGGAAGCAGTGCTTTTTGCAGGGAAATTGTGTGACAATTTTGTGGTCTTCCTCAGTTTCATGAAGCCTTTCACACATACCTGTCTCTCACTTCCTCACCACCCAGGACTGTCCCAGGCTGCTGTGGGTGACAGGATGACTAAGCTTACACCTTGGCAGAGCTGGCAGCTCTGCTGAAGCCACAGCAGATTCCCATGGGCACAGGTTATCATGTACTGGGGCTGGCATGCAACCAACCAACTTGGGGGGTAACAGGGCTGTGCCCAGGATGAGGAAACCTTCAAAGAAACCCTTGCAAGTTTTCTTTGCCCAACTCCTAAGGCACCTAGTTAAGGTGAAAGGAGAGCTTGAACTGAAAGGGCCCAGAATCTTCCAGCCTAAACTGGAGTTTCAATTCAGGCACCACTTTTTCAATGGTGGCCAAACATCAGGGCAGGGAAGTAGAAAATCCCCATCCCCGGAGACACACAGCATCCAGCAGGACTGGGCTCTGTGCAGCCTGCTCTAACATGAAAGCTGGCTCTTTCCTGAGTGGGGAACAGGACAAGAGACCCCCACGGGTCCCTTCCTGCCACAGCCAGCCTAGATTCCCATGCTTACAGTTCTGACACTGCTCACAGCACTCCTATCAGTAAGGGATGATGGCACTTCAAAGTCAAGGCAGGCTTTGAGAAGAGGGCACCACAATCCCACCTCTCTGCACATCCAACATTTGCATTTAACCCAGCCACCACATCTGAAGCTGGGAAGTGCCAGGTGCTGCACAACTGCAAAGCACAGGCTGTCCAGATCCAGGGAGGATCACTGCTATCATCCAGGACCTTGCATATATCTCTCCCCCTTGCCAAGGCTTTGGCTTGGCCTTATGGTGGAAAAGAACATGGGTCAAAGAGTTTGGGTACTGATGCTCTCCATATTCCCACACTAACAATTTCCTCTGTTGTTATGCATGCGGCCAAACACAGAGAAACCACTCTGTGACCAATACTGATTTCCTTTGGCTCACACAACCACTGGCCTAACAGCAGAAAGCTTACTGGGACCATGTCATGGATACCTCTACTCCCCCCCAGAAATTGTATGTGGCTACTGCCCATCATGCACACCAACTAGTGGAAGAAGCCATGAAAAGTGAGTTAACTAACTGGAGACAAATGGCTTAGACACTTTTGTGCTGAATACAATGTTATTCAGCAAAAGCTCCTAGTGGTTTGTATCTGAGCTTATCCTCACTTCACAGCAGCACTCCCACTTCCATGCAGGAGGAGGTGTATTCACCAGGACTTCTGCTGGAGAAGCAATGCCCATCCCAGACAAACACCTAAAGATGTCACCAGCCATGTCCTGCACCACAGGCAATCCATAAGCCAGAGGGGAACTCCCCCTCAGGCACCACATCTGCCTCCCCAAAAGGCCGTGCTTACCCTCAGCTCTTTGAGGTACAACTGCACAGGATCATAATCCACCACAGGGAAGAGGATATTCGTGGCAGAGCTGTTCTTCACCACGCCACGGGAAACCGATTTCACCGGACGGTCCACGCTCTCCAGGAGCCGAGGAATCTGGTTTGGATTCAGGTGGATCAGGACATCATAGAAGTCCAAAGGAGGGCGGAAGACCATCTGCAGGGAGAAACAAACAGTCAATACAGGACACAAGCAGGCAGGAGAGGTAAGAGAGGTTTCCCAAGTCCTTGTTTGCATTTTGTCTCCTTCTCCTTAGGAAGCAGTAAACCAAAGACAAAACTTTTGTGAGATTAATGTTTGAAGTTTGCCACAGACCCCAGGAAGCCTACCTGAGTAAATGCTAGTGGGGTGGGCTACTGAGAGAGGGACAAAGAGGTGAGCTGAGATAGATAACTGCACTGCACATGGCAGTCTCAGGATGAAGAGGGGAATCAAGAACCCAACAGGAGCTGGACAACATGCAGGGAACAAAGGAGCTGTTTAATAATGGGATGGCCCCATCTGTCCATCAGGATTTGCCCCAGAGGGTAACAGCACTTTCCATCAAACAGACAGAGGGTGAGAGCAAAACCCCATTAATGGAGGGGAGCAATCCCAGACATGTAAATATTTGGACAGGCAGGATCTAGCTGTGGATACAGCTGTATTAAAATGGAAAAAACTTAAAACTATGTGTACATTTTCAAATGGAACAAATGATGCAGAGACATGAACAGAGGCATGGGACACTGCTCATCTTGGCACTGGAAGAAAACCCACTGCCTGGAACTGGTTTACAGCCAGGCCAGGGAGAACACACATGAAGAACATCAGTGACCAGCACTGAGTCAGTCCATGGCTTCCTGTGTGTGCCCTGGGAGCAAACCCATGTCTGTATCTACATGACAGCAGGCATGCCCCCATGGGACCCAAATGCAAAGACAAAAAAACCAGCTTCCAGCACTCTCTTAGACACAGGAGGCAACTCCAAACTGAACTGGAAAGGCTTTTCCCTCCTCCCTGCCCCAAGCTCTGCCCTGGAAACAGCATCCCATGTTTATCCCTAAGGAACATGACAGGCCTCCACACACTGGAACGGACCAGAGAGATTCCATGGCAATGAGAAACAATCCCATTGCAATGGAAGGGAGGAAGATGTCCCAAGGAGGTTGAGTCAAGGTGTTGGGAGGCTGCTCTGGCCACATAACAGTTTGTTTTAGAAGGTAACCATCCCAAGCTCACAATGTGCCTCTTGAATTTCAGTCTTGGGCCAGCACTGTGACTGCAACACACTGGACCATGCCTCATTCCTTCACAGCCCTGTAACATACACTGCTACTGTCTCAAGTACATCTTCACCTCATAATATTTCCAGTGCAAAATAAAGCAGAACAGAAAGCAGTGTCAGTAAGTCCTTTTTATATTGCTTAGGCAGAAAAAAATCCACTGTATGTGCTGCTTTCTGGTTTTGGTTTTCATTTGGAGTTTTTTGTCCCTAACGTGAATCTGCCATATCTAACCACTGCTTGGCTTCTTTAGTCCTTTGAGATTCAATCTCCTGGCTCACTAACTGGTACACCAACGAAGCACCCTTCAAAACACATGTATCTCCCTTCAAAGTGCAAATAAATATACATCTCTCAAATCCATTACAGTAATGGACGTTTTAGTTTACTTAAAGAATGAAATCACTGAGAAACTGAAGAGGGTTAAACTCCATAGGGCTTTACTCCTCCACTCAAACCAAAATAACATCCTCCTTAAGTGCCTGGTACTGTTCTGCCAAAACCTTCAACACCCTGAGCCTGGTTAGAGTTGAGCAAACAAGCCAGATTTCCACAGCTATTCCAGAACAGTCTCCCAGAGGACCCATTTGATCTGGTCATGGACACACCAACTGGTTTGGCAGAGGAATATTGTGGGTTTGCTCATGTCCCAGGAAAACTAGAGAATACAAAATAAACTTGCTCTACTCTCCCCAAGCTGCAGTGTACAGCTGGTTCCCCCAGAAGCAGGGTGGCATAAAAGGACACCAGCCTCCTTCCTCCCATCCTTGCAGCTTTATATTACAGGGCAACCACATGGCCACAGCCTGAAACCTCCTAACACACGCCAGCAACCACCACCAAAGCCCAGTCTACTTGGCCAGAGCCTGAAAACCCCTGTGCTGCTGCCCCAGGGGGTTACCTTCACATCCTGGTCCCTGAGCGGGTCCATGAGCTGCTCCTCCAGGGCACGGAGAGACTCTGAGGCAAGCAGGACAAGGCGCTGCAGGATCTGGGAAGGGAAGGAAGTCAGATGGTAAAACCTGGCAGTCTTGGATGTAACAGGGACATCCCTCCCTCAAGGGGCTCTAGGAGCAGAGAACTGCCCCAAGCCAGCAGCCACCAGAGACAAGGGGACAAAGGGCCCAGCTCACCTGTGCTGAGGGGCGCTCCCGGGTCCACATGGAGCTCCACTGGTCCTTGGGGGTGGCCAGGAACATGACGGGGAGGTGAGCACGAGCTGCTACAAACTTTTTCTTGATCTCTGTGCAGTCGGACTCTGGAGAGGGCAGCCAGACAGGTGAGATGCTCTGCCCCATCCACAGCCCTCTGACCTCCTCAGCCCCATCACAGCCAGGAAAAGGCAGCACCCTCTGATCCCACAGTCCATGTGAAACCAGAACTCCTTCACCTCAGGCTTGTGCCTCGCTACCATTAGATGGACCTTTGCTCTAAACCCACTCGGGTGGGCTCAGGCATGGTAGGTACTGAGACTGACATAAGCTGGAAATTCACATTATAAGCTAGTGACAGTTTGTATTATCCAAAGAGTGTTCCATCTTTTGTCTTTTATTTCCCCTCAAGTGGGGAAAAGCTCTTTAGTTCATTAAAATAAGTTGGAGGGCACCTAGGAAAATATTAGTTTTCAAAACCCAATTCTCTCCCAAACACCTTTACTTTTTTTTTATAAATCAGCTTTAAAAGCTGGGTGTAACTATCTCCCCCACGCCATGACTCTGCAGAGCCAAGACAATCCCATGGTCTCCTGTGGCTCCAGCATATACCCAAAAGACAATCAACAGACAAAACACTAGAGGGCAGGAACAGACTGCTTCAAAGACAACACCACATCCAACACCACCCATGACTGTCACAGATTTCAACAAGACCAGAAGCAGCAGAGCATCATCACTGAGACCACCTCTTTAGAGGCAGGCAGGGAAAAAAAGAAAACCACACATGGCACAACGAAACCCATCCTACAGGCAAGTGAAACATGGACAGGAGCAAGGGAGTGGAAAATCTTTTCATAGCACAAGCTATGATGTATCCAAGTGATGTGGAGCCAGGCACTGATCAAGGAGGGCTCAAGAATCTCATGCTGCAGCTCTCCTACCCACTGCCTGCTCACCTGTGAGGCCAGTGTTTAGGTTGACTATAAGAGGGTTATTTTTCCAGTCAAAAGTTGTCAGCAAGTTGAGGAAGCGCAGGAACCCCACCTGTGGAGAGCTGCAGACGGAACAAAACAATTCAACATCAGCAGCACGAAGGGCTGCACTTGGGGGTGACTTAGTGAAGGCCCAACCCATATGCAGCCCAACGAGGGATATCTGTGATGGGAAAGGGAAGTTCAGAATTAATTTGAGACACTTCCCCTTCTCCATATCTCCAGGGAAAATCTTTTCACCCTTTCCCCTCATTCCTCAGGAAAAAGAAACCAGCAAAACGTAAATCATAGTCCCCCCCAACCCCCTCCCAGCTGCCCAATCTCCTGATCCTCTTTCCACCCAGACTCCTGGGTCTGGAACATGGAAGGGGAGAGAGGGCTGCTCCCATCTCTGGTACAGGTCTGAACACCAGCCAAGTTCCCAGAGCGCCTCTTCCCCTGCAACATGACACATCCACAAAGCCAGATAGCTGGGAAGATGGGGATTCTGTTATTTTGGGAGACAGGAAAGCATTCTAGGCATCAGACTGTTGTTCCTGCTACTTTGGGAAAGGAAACTGCACCCCAGGTGCAGGGCAGAGTAACCTTTTAACTCCACACAGAAGAAAAACATTTCCTTTAACTTCATTTCACTTCCTCTGGGCTCCATAACATCTGTCTGCCAGGGACCAGCATTTACCAACACACTGCTCCATTCAGTTTTCAGGGTCCGACCCCTCATCCTTCCCTTGGAAGCCTTCTCCAGGAGGGGGGGAGGCTGGAGCTGCCATCACCACCCTTACATCCTTCCTACGGAACCCAGGAGACCCAGCATGCTGGTGGCCACAACACAGCCCTCACCCTGCTTCTCCTGGCCACCACACCCAGAACAAGGGGCCTCACCAGTCCACCAGAAGGCACAAGACACCTGCAGTTGTGCCACCAGCACCTAGAGGCCACAAGGACACTCGCTCCCAGCCCTACCTGCCCTTCCCCTTTCTCTGCAGTGCACAGCAGAGGGAAAGCCATAGCCCTGCAGTGCTAAGTGCCTCCATCACCTCTGGCAACTCCCAATAGGACTTGGGACAGTACTGTGTCAGAACAGGGGCCTTATGCTCCCTGCTGTGAACCCTCACAACACCTCCACCCTGAGCAGCATCCCACTCTTCCTCCATGCCATGTAATGAAAGGCACTAAACCACCATCACGCCAGTCTGGGCTCTTCATCCTCACCTGGGTGGTGTGAAGGGAGCTGGGTGGAGGAAGAGAAATGCCACAAGCAGGTCCACACACTCCTCAGAGATGCTGTCGCTCAGGAGCTGGGCGCTGATCCAGCGCTTGGCCAGCCGGGAAGTGCTGCCAAACACAGGGTGCTGCTGCTGGAGCCTGTGAGGAGGGAGACATGCCACTGCTCAGCACACACACCCCAGGACCCACAACAGCCCCTTGGCATTTGGCAAGAAAGAAAAGAGGGGCAAAAATCTGCAAGGAACACTTACACAGCATCACAAGCACAGAACTTTCAGCAGATGCTGAGATATTGCGGGAAGAAGGGAAAATGCTGCCTCATGCTCCCCTCTAAGCATACTGCATTTTAATATTTGTCTCCTCGCATCAGTGACCTCAGGGTGAGAACTGGTGCTACCCACATCCTTCCCTTAATCCTTCCAAAGAGCCTCTCACAAGGCTGGCTGAAGGGCCACTTCCCCCAGCAAGCTCCTCCACCCACCATCACCCTCCAGGATCCAAGGGCACTCCAGGCGGGTTTCCAGCCATGTCTCATGTTCTGACCTCTCAGGCACTTTCGACCTCACTTACCCATGCAGTGAGCTAGTTAGATAGGGCAGATGCAATGTTTCCAGCTCCAGCTGCCGAGATTCCTCTGTGTCCTGGTACTTCAGCATCCCTTCCGGAGTGACCACTTCCTTCAAGATCAGGGGCTCCCGGTGGTAGGCTACTTGGAGACGGAAAACGTAGCCATCCTGAGATGGGACACAAGGCAAAATTAGGCTGGATGGTGAAATAAGCAGCATGATGTGTGTTATGCTGCCCCTCAGGGATACAACAGCAGCATCCTGACAGCAGTGCAGTCTCACCACACTCTTTCCTAGGCCCACCATCCAAATATTGTTTTTATAGACTGGGACCACTGCCATGGCCCCCCACCTCGAAAAGGTCAGGCCTGGAGAAGGTTCCGGGAACCCCTACCTTGTACACATCAGTGTGGGTGACTGCAGGTCTGCAAACCAGCTGGTGCTGCTGCCGGAGGAGCTCTGCCAGCTGCAGGTGGAAAGCAGCCTTGATGCGCTTGATGGCTCCTTTGTCCTGCGGCCACTGGCCACTGCCTTCCATGTGGCAGATGACTGGGGGCAAAGGGAGAGCAGGAGGTCAGTGAATCCCACACAGAAATAAGATGTTGGATAGGGGTGTCTGGAACTACAGTTTACAGCACAAGGGCAGGATGCGACAGGGTTCTGCTCCTGCCTGCAGCACACAGCAGTAACAGAGGCAGGATTGATGCATGCCTCCACTTCCCTCCACCATATCATCTCCCACTCACATCTCACCCCACTTACTCTTCAAAGGGGTTATGTAGGCCGGGCAGGGTTTCTCCTCTGAAGGAAGCAGCAAGTGCTTGCTTCTGTTATGGAAGGAATAAATTGGCTTCACAGGAATGGGAGGAAAGACCTGAAAGAGAACAGCCACCCAGCAACTGAGACCAGGGAGCAGAAACCTCTTGGCAATGTGTATTCCCTCATTCAAATCTCCCACACCAGGAAAGCCCTCCAGTACAGAGGGTTTGGTCAGCTTGTGCACAGCCAGCCCAAAGGATGGAATAGCAAAGAAGAGGCACCATACTGCCCTAAGGGCTCTCAGGAGCCACAAAAGCAGAGAGTGACTCACTCTTCTCAGCCCTCCCTCAGCCCAGCTCCCTGCAGACCCCCATGCATGGCCATGCCCCTGGACACTCACATCTGTGTACCGGAGGGCTGGATGGACACCCTGCACAGCCGTCACCGTCAGCGGCAGCTCCTTCAGGTTCCACAGCTTGCGGCTCAGGTCATCGTAGGAGCACACAACACTGACCAGGGCCTCCTCGCCCGTTCCCCCTGCCTGCGGACACACAGCGAGTCTTTCCAAGCACCTCTCCTGCTCCTGCATTCATCTCACCTCCCTCATAGGCTGGCATCACATCCAAGCTCTGAGAAGCCAGCGCTGCCACCCCTGGGAGCAGCTCCTGGCAAGAGCACTCAGCAAAATGGGGAGTTAAGAAAGAGAGAAAAGACAAGAGCAAGGCTGTCTGCGACTCCCCAGCAGCCACAGCTATCCCAGAGGCTAATAAAATTATTTCTTTTGCAAGGCACTAAGGCAGCATCAAGAGCTGTACTGCCAGCAACCACTATAATAAAGGAGAAGCCAAGAATCATCAGGGAATAAAGAGATCATAATAGGCTGGCAAGGTGAGAGCCCTGCTACTGTCTCCCCAGGAGTTACCATGACACCAACAGAGGCAGCAGTTAACAAAAAACTCCACTGACTACATCCTTAGCCAAGGCAGAGTTCTGGCACATGGCAAAAGCAAAGACAGAAAACACTCAAGAGCATCACAGGAACCCTGTGGAGGGCAGCAGAGAAGCACCAGAAGGAGAATTTGTGCTGCCCTTACTGCTTCCACCTCCCCAAATAACAGCAGAGCAGCCTGATCTGTCAGGGAGGACACGCTGGTGACACCAAACCACCCAGCTCAGAGGCAGCTGAGTCACACAACGAGCGAACCTTGCTGGAGTTTTCCAACCTGAGCTCTGTGGCGGAGCAGCAGCACCCTCTGTGGGTGTGCTGAACCACAAATCCCCTCCTGCTTGTGGCTGCATCCTTCCCCTGCCTTCATCCTGAACATCCTCACATTGCTGGCTCCCCAAACTACCTGCACACAAACAGCTGGAGGAGCAGGTGCCCTGCACCCACCACCCCACACTCAACAGCAACTTTCTCCTTTGTTCCTCAAGGACTGGCAACAATGGAACCCCTAAGCACCCCTCAGGCTCCAGGAAAATGCATCCCCTACCACACTGGGGTGTACCAACCCTGCTAACCCCAGAGCAGCCTGAAGGGACAGCACATAGACCTTCCTGCCCCACCACACAACAGGCTGTGAAAACCAGCACCTCATCCCAAATCTGACACCCAGCTCTGCCAAGACCGCAGTCGGTTCTCGCACAGGAGATCCTTTCCATCAAATGTATGCTCCTTCAGTCTAAAAAAGCGGAAAGGAAACAATTTCTTCCTCCATTCAACAACCAGGTAAAGAGCTGTTTGTACTGATGCCTTTTTAGGACTATCTAAAAACGGAGGCCAGATAAAACTAAGGGAATAAAAAGTGGTTATATTTATTGAAGGGCCTTCAGGTACATTTTCAGGCAGATGAAGCCCCCCTCAGGGACTACACCTAAAAATGGACGATGGGTAATGGGTTTTCATACTTTTATAAGTTTGGTTCATTTACACATTAGGGGTTAATCTTCCAATTACAGCTTCAGGTAATGAAGACATCTGCTCCAAGTTTGCTCCCTCTCCAACTCACTTTTGTTTACATTTCTCAGGGCCTGAGACAGTAAAGTATCATTGATTCCCAGGCCTAGAGAGGAATTGTTTTGTCTAACCAAAATGTGAATACAGCAGCTAACACTCTACACGGAGTTTAGAGTTATACAATACAGAACTGCAGGATTACAAATATATGAAAAATATTAACACTAAAACCCTAAGGCATCAGTACAAAAAGACCAATGAAGTGTGCCAAAGTGCTCATGGCTCATCTCCAGACTTTAATTTCACAAGGTGAAAAGCAGATATTGTAAGAAGGGACATTTCCCAGCCTCTGAGATGCATCTTTTCTGTCTGAAAGTGGAGTTTCTTTGTTTCAGCTGCACATTCAGAAGGAGCACAATCTAGCACTTTGCAATATGCCAGGAAAGATCCTTTCCCTGGGTTTGCCAGCTGGACCTAATGGATGGGCAGCACAGAATTGTCTGGCCCATGTCCTGAAGGATGCAGTACTTCAGAGATGCAGCCAGAGGAGCACTGTTGGCACAGTAATATATGCTCAGGCATGTGGACAGGGGCAAAAGCAGTGAGACTAGGACAATGGGGTGCTAGCAGGGCAAAATGAGATCTGGGGGATGCTAAAGCAAGAGGATTTCAGCACCTATGCATTGGCTGCCATGAAAGACTTGGCAGATCCTTACCCATACTATATTCTCTTCGGGACCACCCAGCTGCTTCAATGACACTCAAATGATCTTCCTACAGCCCTTCCCTCACTGCTCTTCTTCCTGGAGAGAGCCCCAGCCCCACCAGGGAAGCAATCATACCTCTTTCCCAGTTCTGATCACAGATTCCAGCAGGGCCCCTGTGTAGCAGATGGACGACTCAGGAATGTCCGCATGGCTATACAGGAGAAGACAACAGAACATCAGAGCTACAGCATGCCAGCCTATCGACCCTATTGACACTGAATGTGTCAGCCCAAGGATGAGCAATCCCTCTCCAAAGGAAGCCCTGGTGAAAAGACAAACCTCTGTGCATTCCTCCCTGCCCAAGTAATCCACCCAAAGTGGACCAGTACTTGTGCAGCTTCACAGGATGCAAAGCCAAAGGCACCAGTGTGCAGCCTTCCCTCACAAGACCCCTCCTCAAGTCAGGACAAAGAAGCACAGACAAACCCTCCTTTCTGTGCAAGAGGGCCTCACTTTTGGCAGATGGTATAAACTGCAGCAGAGGCATTCCAATGCCATAGAGAGGACACAATCTTGTGAACCACTGCAAGGTCTCAGAGGATTTCACAAAAATGTTCTGCATGGTCCAGACAGCTTATCTTCCAGCTCTGAGGAGTGCCCTGGCATCCCATCCACATGGTAAGGGCAGGACCAAGCTGTCTCCTTGCCCTTTGTATTACATCCAGCAGAGGCTACAGCACCAGGTGCTTGCCCCTCCCACCCACTCTTGGGAAGCGGCTCACAGCTTTAGGACAACTAAAACGATCTCACAAATCTGAAACAACCCACAACATCCCAAAAAGCATGAAGCTGTCAATGGGGTCACCAGGGACAGGACACATGGCAGGAGCAACACATGGAGCAACCCACAGCTGCTGCTCAGTGCAACTTACAGCTTCAGCAGGTGCCTGATGATCTGCTCAGGAATGAGGCGCTTCTGGGAGACAGTGCTGGCCTCCCACACCACAGCCTCACAGATGCTGCCATCCTGGAACCGACGCAGCTCTGACTTCTCTCCCCAAAAAGTCCGGAACTCCAATGCCTGTGGGAGGACATTGACCAGAGCAGGGACAAAGGTCATTTCTGGACCAAACAAAACCTTCCCAAGATCACCAGCTAGCCTCCCAGCTGCCTGCAACCACAGCACAGCACCAGCTTTGCCCTTACTCAGCACAAGCAGGGCTCCCCTCACCTTGGGGTGATCAGCCTGAGGACCCTTCTCCAGCGTGCTGGTAGCAAACTCTGGGACAAACAGGAGACCAAACGTCAAGGGCCCAACATCCTTGTGTTTTGGGGGCTCAGCATCAATTGGCCACTGTGGGAAAATGAGGAACATGAGGCACAAGGAGAGATGAGGTTTCTGAAGCAGCAGCTACTGGGATATTGGGGTGCTAGATGAACCTCCTGCTATGTTCTCCCAGGTGCCCAGACAAGTACAGACAGGGAAAGTCTCATCTAATAGGTCTCCCCAATGACAAGAAAAGCTGTCTTCATCCTTCCTCATTACTGGCCCAGGATTTGTGCCCAGACCAAGCAACACAGCTGCATCCCACAGCCCAGGGCATGGTCTCAGGTTCCATATTCCCAACAAGGGAGACAAGCCTGTCTCCTTCCCCAGTGAGCCCTCCCTGTGCTCTGTAGTGCCACAAGAAACAGCTGAGACCCCACAAGCTGCAAAGGATGCAGAGTCATTGTCAAGCTGCATTACCTCGGGGATCTGGGGCAGGGAGTGAGCCACAAGCTGAGCTCTCTGGGACAGACCACGTGCCAGCAGCGAGACAACAAAGGGCAGGGCCGCAGCCACATAGTTCCCACCCCGATCCATCAGCTCATTCAGCAGCTGCATCTTCTTGCAGGTACCCTGCAGCTTGGAGACATGCTTCAGGCTACGGAGAAGAAGAGAAGCTGGTCACCTACCTCTGCCACCAAATCCTTTCTGAGAGAGGGCTATGTTAGAAGACGAATAAAATGGGGAACTGAGGGTCCTAGCCCAGCATGGGTGCTACAAGAATGCCCTCTGGCATCTCAGGAGATGCTGGTCATTGTTACCAAGGCTTAAACATTGTTCCCCTCCTCTGGGAGGCTATCTAGACAGTAAAAGTGGAACAGCCCAGTGCAAGGAGGCACCAATGTCTATCTCAGAGCCTAGCAGAGCCACTTCTCACCAGGTAAGTTCAAATCTAACCCAGACCAAAGCCAGAAGCAGCTCACTTGTCCTTGAGCAGGCTGCCTCAGCACTACCCCACCAGCACAGTGAGACTCACTGGAAGACGTGGTCAAAGGTCCTGAGCATGGGCTTCGGGGTCATGAGCAGCACCTGAAAGCCATCCACCATCCGGTCATCCAAAATTTCCATAGAGCGCTTGGCTTCAAACTGGACCTGAGCAAGGAGGGAAAGCAGTTCAGGAGCATGAATGCAAAGGGAGAAGGAAAGCACATCCCTCCAGCAGTGGTCACTTGTGCTCCCTCATCAACAAAGGCCAGCCCATTTCCACGGTCAGCAGCACACCCTGATCCCAGTGTCTGTCCTTAGCATGAAGCCAAGTAACAAACTGCTCTCACTGCTGGCCAGACAGTCTCTTTTTTATATCCCCGACACCAAGGTGATTTTTTTTCTCTCCTACAGAACAATTACACCTGTTAAACAGCTGCTTAGCTTCACCCAAAGGTTCACACAAAGAGGGAAACAACTTTCTCACACCACTCGAGCAAGACTGGTAAGGCAGCTCTACATTTAAGTCTCCAAATTCACTTCCAAACTTCAAAGCTGAAGATGTTAAAAGCTTAGAAAACCACAATGAATGCTCTCCCTTGGTCCTATATCCTCCTTGAAGACATCTAACCATCCTCTGTCTGAGCTCACTCCTAAGACAGCACCTCAAGAAGCCACCACAACCTGCTCAGTACCTGGTGATATTTGCTGGCAGTCATATCAGCACAGAGATTGACCAGCCCAGAGGGATCCACAAAGACCACTTCAAATGCCTGGTGGAAATCATCCAGGACAGGCTGGAAAAGCAAACATGGTCCTCAGTGCTACAGTGCATCACATACATCAAGACACCCCAAAATTGCTGCCACCTGCCATCCCTGCAACAGGCACATCCCACCCCCAGAAGCAGTGGCAACACAGACAGACTGAGGCACAAGACCCCTCGGAGGGCTGCTTACCAGGGAGGGATCAGCATCCTTGGCTAGACTGATCCCTGTCACACTCAGGTCAGTGGTGGCTGTGGACAGACAGGAAGGAACAAGTCACACCACCATCCCCATCTCTCCCCCTGGAGACAGTGGCACAGTTACACGCCAATACCACCAAGGTCTCACAACGTCAACAGCGCTACAATACAAGGCTGGCCTCCACCCTACGATGGTAGGTGCAAGCTGCACCATCCAGCCCTGCTCTGTTGACTCATCCCCTCCTGTCCATCCCACCCACAGGGGCTCAGCTCAAAAGAAAAGCCACAATGGCCTCTCTCCCCCTTCCTCCACTGTGTTCAGGCTTTGGCAGAGACAGCAACCTTTCCTTGTCCAGAGAGGCCCCTGGAAACTCACCCAGGAATTGCAGAGTGCTCCTCAACACCTGGTAGCCACTCATCATCTTGACAATCTTGCGCTTCATCAGCAGGTAGGCAACAAGCATGGAGACCAAGAAGCCACTGAAGCACCCCAAGCCCTGTGAAAACAGAGGTACCACAACCCCATGGCAGCCCACAAGTTAGGATGGGGCCTCCATGTATTGTATTTGTGGGGTGCCCCTGTGGCAGGAAGGAATGATGAATTTGACTCCATGTTCTCAGAAAGTTAATTTATTATTTTAAGATACTATATTACATCAAACAATACTATACTAAACTATACTAAAGAATACAGAAAGGATACTTACAGAAGACTAAAAAGATAATAATGAAAACTTGTAACTCTTTCTAGAGCCTCGACACAGCTTGGCACTGGATGGCCAATACCTCAAAATAATTCACATGAAACCAATGAAACAACCACTTGTTGGTTAACAATCTCCAACCACATTCCAAAGCAGCAAAACACAGGAGAAGCAAATGAAATAATATTGTTTTCCTTTTTGTCTGAGGCTTCTCAGCTTCCCAGGAGAAAAATCCTGGGCAAAGGGATTTTTCAGAAAATACGAATGGATGTCACCATCCATGAAAACCTAACACAGTTCAAAGCAAAGCCACAAGCCACCAGCTCACCCACCAGGATCAAAGCACCACCCTTCTGCCATAGGAAGGAGAGCAGGCCAAAGGCAGATTAGCCAGGTAGGCAGAGCTCACCTTGGCACAGGACATACCTTGCTGAGCTGCCGCTGATTCAGCCAAACTTTGAGGAGGGCCAGGCCATCTTTCATGCCTGGAAAGTCCGTGGCTGCATTAGACAGGAAATGCAGGTGGGGGAGCATCACTGTGTCACAGAGAATGGAGTTGTTGTAGTGCGGGGTCGGGGGCTCGGTGGCTCCTGTGTGGAGAGATGACAGCATGTTGAACCCAATCATCAACTGCCTGCCCAAGGAGAAGGGCTGCAATGGACCCACCCACAGGCCCTGGGGGCAGTCTCTGCCTGAAACAAACGGCCCCATGTTCCCCCAGCCCCAGGCCATACCTTCTTTGGGGGTGCTCTGCTCCATGAACCAGGCGGTCCGGACGTTGTTCTTGCTGGGATAGAAGCGGCTGGGTTTGAAGAGATCCGCGTCAGGACAAGCATGGAGTCGGACAGTGACAATCTTCTCATCCTTGCCTGTAAGCAGCCGAGGGAAGATGTACCAGAGGAAGAGATGTCAAAGATTAAACTGGGAAAAGACGGAGCATCCCCAGCCTGGGCAAAGGCAAATCCTCCCTCCCAGCAAAGTTCCAAAGCAGTGGAAATCACCTCAGAGCAGAGAGTGACCACATCCCAGAGCCAGTGATGACCTTGAGATCACACAGCTCATGCCCCAGCCCCATCCTCCTCCTCACTGCTCAGTCTGGCAGCATTGCCTGGCTGGCCTTGCCATGCCATGTCTGTCCCAGATCCCAGCCCACTGTCTCCTGAGGGCTGTGGGAACAAGCAGCACCTGCATCTCATGGTCCCCTTTCACAGGGACATCATCTCATAAGGGAAGAGACAGACTGTATACAGGTTCCTCGGGAAGGCAGGAGGACAGTGGGGAACAGGGCTGGGGAGAGCAGGAAGGAAGGGCAGTGCTGGATACAGGTGTGTTTTGTAGGATTTTTTTTTTTAATCCTTGAAGTACCCACAGGATATGTCGACCAGCGAGGCCAAGGCTGGAGAGCCCAGCCAAGCTGCAGAGGAGGATTGGGAAGGGGAGAGACCCTGATGACTAGACTCTGGGTGAAGAGAGAAAACAGATGAGAAGCACCCAAAATTTATCACCAGTTGTGATGGCAGCCCCAGACTGATCCCTCTCCAATGAAGAGTTAAATGGTATCAGATCACCACCAGCACCCTCCACCCAACACCAGTACCCAGTCACACCCCACAACAGAGCAAGGTTCAAGTGCCACCTTGAGGCCTCAGGAGCAGGATGGGCTTCAAATGGTTGCTGTTCATGTAGGCAAATTTCACACTGCCAAAGAGCTTCTCCTTGGAGAAATGCTGGGCAATGTGGGACAGGTACAGGGCTCTCTTCCGGTGGTAGCGTTGATTCAGGTTATCTTTGTCCTGAAAGATTTCCTGGGAAGAGAGGGACAGGACAATACCACCTCAGCAGCCTGCCAAGTTCAGTTCATCCCAAGGCACCCCTGTACCCACAGCTCCCCCTGGCCCCGCAGGCAGCCCTATCTCAGCACCAAGGAGCTCCAAGCTGGTCAGGAGCTTGATACTGGCTCACCGAGCTCCAAGAGTGCAGGAGACAAGAGCAGTCATGCAGCCAAACAGGGTGTGCTTGGCCTCAAGCTTTTCTTACAATTAAGTCTGGGCAGCAAGGGGAGGTTACCAGGCTCCAAACATCTCCCTCCCTTTAACACAGTCTTGGGAGATGCAGTAGAAGTGCAATTGGGTACAAAAACAAACAGCATGCATCTGCCTGGCAATGTTCCATCCAGGCAGAGAGAAGGAAGATCCTCATGAGGAACTAAGATCAAACAGCTGCTCTGATAGAGCAAGAGGCCAGCGCACACTCCTTGTGGAAGTCATCCTGCATATCCAGAGGCTGTCGCCTCACTGAGGAATGGAGTGGGCAGAGCAGGGGTCATGGAGGACAAGAGAGGACAGGGCTCTGGCAGGCCCCAAGCCATTTAAGAGGTGGCATGGCCACTTGTGGATGTGACAACCTGGTCAGAGAGCGAGAAAATGAAATTAGTTTTCTCATAGTGGACTTGTGAGACTTTTTGGGGAGTTGTAGAGAAACGATGATAACCTGTTATTATAAAGAACCTGCAGGTGGTGTTCTCCTATTCTCTTTATTCCTGTTCTTCTCAAGGACCATTTGTGAGGAAGGTGTTTTTGTTAATTAGCCAATCAAGTGGAACGTATCAGACCTGTCTATAAAGAGAACAGTTTTCGCACTAAAGCTACTGCTGTGCAAACCAGCCTGCTTGCAGTCTGCTGCTTTCTTACTCAGCAGTGACAGCCACTCACCCGTGGCATGGTCACTGCAATGTCCACGTTGATCTCTGGCCTGACGCAGGTGCCCAGCAGGTAACTGCCCACCACCTTCAGCTCGGCTGGGGGCACGAAGCGGAATCTTCCCTTGACATTGAATGGCACCTGCAGGAACGGGACTTTCACATCCTGGGAGAGCCAGGCCTGGTCAGTGAGCTGGGAACAGATATGACACATAAAACACTCTGAGCATCAACAGCAGCAGATGTGCAGGGACAAAGACCCCGCTCCCCACACAGCCGCACGCAGAGCTTAAAGAAAATCTCCCCACTTTTTCCTCAAAGAAAAAGCAAAATATTATTTTTTCAGCCCCTAAGGGATACAGTTTACAAGCAGCTCTGCTTGCAGAACAACAGCAGAGCCTGCTTCTGCTCCATCCAGGACAGGGGTCTTGCCACCTCTTCCATAACCCTGGAACATACTTCAGTTTCTGGAGTCTCTGGGATGGTGCTCAGCAGGCTGTTAATTTCATGGAGGAAGGCATCGATCTTCTTCTTCTTTTTCTCCTTCAATGTCACCTCCTTCAAAAGCTCTTCGATCTGTAGGGGGAAAGGGAACCATCAAAGGCATCTGTAACACTGCAAGTGCTCCTTTTACCTTGTCCTCCAGCACCAGCCATGAGCCTGCTGCAAAGGACAGATGGTAAGCTGGGGGACACACCAAACTCTCCTTAAATCCTGCCTGGAGCTGGCAGTTTGTTCAGTTCCTGCCATTTTCTGTGAGTGCTGGATTGCAATCATCTCCATCCCAACCAAGGTCCAGGCAAAAAACCCTGATGTAATTCACAAAGCATAGCTCTCAGGCTGACTGTATGACAGAGAATCAGCTGCAGGAAACAACCACACAAGCTCCCACCACAAACCAGGCCCTAGAGATCCTGCCACTGACAACAGCAAGTAGCTAGCAGACTAAAGCTGTTCCTCATAAAAACCACCAATCACCTGAGGGATGGAATGCCATCCAGAGGGACCTGGACCCATGAGATTCAACAAGACACCATGTACAAGATGTTGAATCTGGCATGGAGGATGAGCAGCCCCAGAGCAGCCCTGCCCAGAAGGGCTTGGGGGTGCTGTGGGTGAGAGGCTGCACATGCCCCGGCCATGGCACTGCCAGCCCAGAGAGCCAAACGTGTCCTGGGCTGCATCCAGAGCCCCGTGGGCAGCAGGGCAGGGAGGGGATTCTGCCCCTCTGCTCTGCTCTGCTCAGACCCACCTGGAGCACTGCATCCAGAGCTGGGCTCCCAGCATGGGAGGGACAGGGACCTGCTGGAGCCAGCCCAGAGGAGACCACCAAGATGATCAGAGGGATGACAGACCTTACCTATGAAGAAGGGCTGAAAGCATTGGGATTTTTCAGCCTGGAGAAAAGAAGGCTCTGAAGAGACTTGTTGTGGCCTTCCAATACCTAAAAGGGCTACAAGAGGGCTGGAGAGGGACTTTTTATGAGCACACATAGGAAAAGGGGCAATGGCTCTGAATTGAAAGAGAGTAAGTTTAGATTAAAAAAATGGGACGAAATTTTTCCCTGTGAATGTGTTGGCACAAGTTGCCCAGAGAAGCTGTGGATTCCGCATTTCTCAAAGTGTTTAAGGCCAGCCTGGATGAGACTGAGCTACTTGGACTAGTGGAAGGTGAATCTGGGAGGCTGTTGAAACTAGATGATCTTTAAAGGCCCCTTCAACCCAAACTGCTCTATGATACTAAGATGTAACTACCAGCTGATCTTCCCCTAACACAGACAGCTTGATAACCCAGGCCACCTCCGACTCCGGGCTCCCGCAGCCCCCACGCTCCCCCGCGGGGCAGTGCGCGGTCCCCCCGGCTGACCTGCAGGCGGAGCAGGCTGGAGTGGAACAGATCCTCCGTCTCCTTCAGCTGGGTCAGCTCCTCGCTGGTCGGCGGCTTGTAGAGCTCGGCGCGGCTCAGCTTGGCCGGCTGCGGGGCTGCGGCTCCCGGGGCAGCCCTCTTCCCCCGCTGCACCGCGCCCCCGGCAGGGGGTTCCGGGCCCTGCTCCGCCTCCTCCGCCGCCTCCGGAGAGCCCTGCGGGGAGAACACAGCACGGTTCGGTTCACTTCGGCCCAGATCAGCCCCGCGATCCCCCCGGCCCGGACCCGCCGCCTCTCACCGCCATGGCCGCTGCCCACGTGCACCTCCGTCACCACGTGCGGCGCCGCGCGCCCCACCGGTCGCCGAGCGCCGTTTCCTATTGGGCGCGAGTGACGGCGCGGGGCTTCCCATTGGCCCCGCTGCTCGTGCCTGCCCATGGGGGGCGTGTCCGCAGCGCCGCTCGGCTTCCTCAGCAATGGCGGCGCCGCTAGCAGGCTGCGTGGGCCGCGGGTTTGCCGAAATCACCGCCTTTCACCCCAAAACTGCGGCTCTCGGGCCAGTATGACGGGCTTTCGCCTTCAGGCGGGCGAGCGCGGGGGTCGCCTGCGTGCCGCAGATCCCGGTTGTAGTACTTGATGCTTAATCGGGGTGGATATCTTGGATGCGGCCTGCCGAGAGCCCGAGCCGGCCTGGCCGGCAGGAACGGACACCGGGAGCCAGGAAAACCCTTCTGGCCTGGAGGAGCGGGCACCGGGAGCCATCATCCTCCTGGCCAGCTTCCGCAGGGATTGGGAAGGACATCAGGAGCCAGTGGCATCCTACGTGCAGATTACTGGAGTGGGGGGCATATCCCCGTTATATAAATTAGATACATAGGCCTGTACAGAAGCAGCTCTGGACTCCGGGTCTCCGGGACTCGGATTTGGGTTGCCAGGGCATTTAAAAGACCATGCCATGTGTGTCCCTGAACAGGAGGACATAGATTTTGGACCCAGGTAATTTTAGTTCTCTTTTCAGCTCTTTGGATAAGTGTAGTCAGTTAATTCACTTTTCTACACCCTACCATGAAACAGTACTGCTGTGTCTCCAGTGGGACCGTCCTTCTTCTTCAGAGAGACTGCTCTGGGATAGCAGCCCTGGAGTCTGTCATCCCCATGCCAGGTCCAACTTCTCCCTGAACCCTGGCCACACTCACTCTTTTTCCTGCACTGTGGGAACACTACCAGCAGGAAGTCTTCAAGGGCATATGTGTAGACATGTTAAGACAGAGGGTTGAAGATCAGATATCCATCCTGAAGGCAAACATGGGAGTTCAGAGAACTCAGTGAAGTAAGCTGAGGACCCCTAAGCCAGATCAGCCCACTGCTTGTAGGCTGTTGGGGAGAAACAAGCAGCTTTAGGGTAAAAGCTAAGCTCTGTTGGAGGGGGTTGGGGTGGGAGACAATCTGTGTTCAGAGGATGTTTGCAGCTGATATCTGCCCTGCAGGTCTTTCCTGTGTCTGACTTGCCTCAGAGCAGGGCTCTCACCCATCCCTCTGCCAGGGAAAGCAGAGTAATGCCATGTTCTGCCCAGCTGCAGAGCTCATTTCCACACACTGCAGCATCTCTGCCTGGGACATCGAAGTGCCAAGCTCCTGATGAATGCATTGTTTCTGTTCCCAAAGAAGGCTGGCACCTAACCTGCTGCTTGGCTGGGGTGGCCATCAGCATTATTGCCAAGAGCCCCTCAAGCCTCTCATCGTTCCCTCATATTTAATGACTTCCATTCAGGGAAATTTGCTAGAAGGTCTCAGCCTTGTGTCAACTTTGTTACAAAGACTCCTCTAGGTGGGTGTTTGGTTCCTGCTTTCCAAGGAGAGTGTCTGGAGACTCAGGATGCTGTTTGGGGAGCACATGCCTCACACAAGCAACTTGTGGCAGGGATGCAGATGGCTGTAGGTGTGACATGAGGCTTCTGTCCCCCGTTACTGCTAATGGCAGTTCCTGCCTGGCTGCTGCATTATAGCCTCTCTGGATCCCAGCCACCAGCAGCAACTTCCCCAACCATCTCCAGAGGATCCCAGGAAAGGATTTTTGCTGATTATAGCCTCCAAATCATTTTTTCTTTCATCTCAATGGCTTGGGACAGATTCCTCAGGCTTAACCCTGAACCTTGAACTGAGTAGACAAACCCCCTTTATCCATCTGCATCCATGCACACACTCCCCTGCATGCCAAAGTTGCCTCCAGAACTGACTTCCAGTTAATATGGTTATTTACTTCCTGTCCAATTTTGCAAGTAATTCCTGAGTGCAGCTTTAGTGATTCCACCAAGTCAGAATCAGCTCCTAATTTTGGAGGTCTTTATCCTCCCTGTTACCAAAAAAACCCAGTTTCTTGGCTGGAGGAGCTCCTGCTCCTCCCCCTTCCCGACAGGGGCAGGACTGCCACCCTCAGCTCTGCTCCACGCCCCCAGTGATTCACTGCCAGACACCTGCGGGTGCTGTGGCCGTACCTGCAATGTCAGGCTCTTCTCTTTTTTAAGGGGAGGGTAATTACAGCCCTGTGCAGGATTTTTAGGAAGGCTGGGCAAACCAGTTTGGTCATCCCTGTCCCCAAGGACACATCCTCGTATTGCCTGAGAGCAGCAGGGGAGGGACTCACTCAGGGGCAGGTCCAGGGTGGGTTGCTGGGGTGTCCATTGTGCAAATCCCTCAGCATCCTCTATGCACCCCTGCTGTTGCTGGGATGGCATGTAATGCCCAGCTGGTTTGAACTAATGAGTTCAGGGTCTGTTTTGGGGACACTGAGGGGAGTTTAGGGGACTGGGGGCACAGGACAGGTCAGCTCCTGGATGTGTCACCTCAGGGCAGCCCAGCCAGCTCTGCAGTGGAGAGCAGGACCACTCATGCTTGCCCCAGAACAGGTTCTTTAATAAAGCATTTCAGCACATAGTGAGTCATTAATTACACCCAATCATACAATGCTAATAGTAGTAATATTAATTTAAAAATTTTTACAGCATTCCATACCATGTGCCTGCCCTTGCAGGCATCATGCACCTCCTCCTATCCTGCCTAGCCCAAAGAACTACTGCTGAGCTCCTGCTTCTTGTTATGCTTCATCCATGCTGCTCAGAAACACCTGGGACATTGGAGGAATGTTCCCTGCACTCTGTCCCTAAAAATCTGGGACTTCTTGGCTCAGGTGAAACCATTCCCAGATGGGTTTTCAACAATGCTAAGCATTCCCAAACTCTGTGTGCCAGCATCTCCTCAGCGTGACCTTTTGGAGCTCCAGCTTTCCTAAGAGATACAGACAGATAGCAGTGTGGCATCAGTGCACCTCTGGGAAAATCCCACTCTGCCACACTTGCAGAGGGACCACTGGGAGCGTGTGGAGCCGCTTCCTCGGTGCTGTCTTTCCTGGGAGCAGCACCTGAGCATCGCCAGCCCTCAGCCCTCCCCGCTGGTGACGCCCTCCAGCACACGGCTCGAAGCGCACGAGTGCCGCCCCGCACGCACACCTGTGTACACACACATCCCTGCTCCCTCGGCTCCGGCCTCAGGAATGCTGCAGGCATCAGGCGCAGCTGCCAGGAAGGGGCTGCGGTGGACGCGGCTGCCGAGCAAGTTTAGCGGTCACATTGATCCCGACTTGTGTCGGCTTAACCCCCGCACCAGCTTGTCCCCTCCCGGGGTCTCCCCAAAAACACCACTGCTGTGGAAATGCTCCGCTCCCCTGGCAGCTGTGGAGAGCTAAATTTGCGGCAAAAACCTTGGCACAGCCCTGTAGCCTGGTATCACCTGCAGGTGTCTGCAGGCAAAGCCAGTTCCTGTTCAGAGCTCCCCCCTCCAGCACTTTTGCATCCATCCCCTAACCCTCTTTGGCCAGCCCATGGCCGTGGCTGTTTTGTTTTTTTTTACCAAGTACCCCAAAACCCCATCCCAGTGATAACACCTGGACATGGCACTTCTCACTGTCTGGCAGCTTCACCCAGATTTGATGGAGTTTCTTGCTGCTTCTGTGGAGTGGGGGCTCTGTCCCACTTCAATAAATCTGCATTTCATTGTAGGATTAAATAGTTCCTCCCTTTCGTTTCTGTAGTATTTTCAAGTGTTTTAAATTCTCAAGCATTAACACATGGCAGAGTCATTTGTAACTCTCAAAAATAACCGGGCACATAGGCTAATGACACACTCCATAATGTTTGAGTGTCCATCCCAGGTATGGCCATATCACAGAAACATGTAGCCACTGAGCAATCTTCACAATGGCCAAGAGGTGGGAGACTTCATCAAGGCAACAGGGTACGGTAAAGTAGATGTTTGTAGTTTTAACTTCAAAACATTGAAGTTTTTAAAAAAAGCTCAAGGGCTTCACCCTGGGGTTCAGGCAGACACCCAGCACATTCCTGGCAGTCGAAAAAGTAAAGTCCAAGGAGAGCTGGAGCCCAGACACTGCCTGTGGGATGGGGTCAGAGGGACACCCAGGTCTCTCCTGGGGCTCAGGGACCACCCAGGAAAAACAGTGTTGCACTGATAAAAACGAGGTTCAATCATCACTCTTTTCTTGGATGGATGATTGTTTGTTAAGTCTCACCTGGTTCATTAAGTCTCAGCCATCTGCATTGGGACACAGAAAGTACTTTGCATCCTCCCTCCACCAGCAGAAGCTGCAGCTTCAGGGCTTTATAAGGGCAATGCCGAGGTTCACAGGGTGATACAACAGCCACAGCCCTCCTGGGTGGGTGAAATACTGGGATGGTGTGTTAGACACCCTGTCTGAAGAAAAAAACAAAAAGCAAAGCTTAACTAAATCATACATGTATGTCAGGGACAGAGAGAGAGATTGATTTTTACTGTCCGAAATCAGTCTCTGGCAGCTTTATCTGAAAACTGTGGTGATCTGAATTACACAAAGAGAACTAATGGGAAGTTGGTATGCTTTGAAATGTACTGGCAGTTTTGCCTCCTCTTAAATTACCAATTTGCATCTCACATAGATTGTTTTGTGTGCCTTGTTTTTATTCTCTGGTTTCTTTGTTTGCTTTATGCAACAGGCAAGAGAGCAAATTTACCTTATTTCCTGTCTGTTGCCAGGCTGGATTTACACATAGCAACAAGGAGGAGAAACCCTTTTCTTTTTTTTTCTGGTAGTAAAAAACAACTTGCAGTCTCTAAAAATCACATTGGAGACACTGAAGGAAAGAAAAAAAAAACCCTTTTCTCTTGCAGTCTTGTCATGTTTTATCAGTGATGAGTTGGTATGCCTTGCCTGTCCCACCAAGGCATCCCTTGGCAATCTCCCTGCAGTAGAAGTGCTCTGTTTCCCAGCCACAACAGAAAAAAAATCAGTCTTCAGGGCAGCTCCTGAGACAAGAGGGAGTGGAGAGAGCCAAGAACATGCAAGTGTGAGTTTTATTTATTTGTGGCTTAAACCTCTGAGTGCCAAATCACCTGGCAATGTGAGTGCCCTCCCCGCCTTTCCAAACCCAACTTGCATATTGCTGAGCAAACGTCAGCAGACATGATGGTGGTGGTGATGATGATGATGACAACTTGGTTAATTAAAATCTTCAAGCACACCTGACTCAAATTTCTAACAGCTCTGGCCTTTTTTATTCTTTGGTTCACACACACACACACACACACACACACCACATTCCAACGACTCTTCAAGACAGGTATGTTACATACTTATTCACCTGATGGGGAACAGAGGCAAGGCAGTGGAGAACTTCGCTGGAATGCGAATTCAGGAAGAGCATTCAGGAAATTCCCTCACAGTTCTCCATTTTGCTTTTCATAGAAACCGAGATTAAGCAACAGTGTTGACTGTGTTTCTGCCACATCCCTCCTAGTTTGTGATTTTCAGCCCACAAGGGCTGCCTCACCTCCGGATGCAGGTGCTTCAGAGCCGTTTTGTGGAATTTGGCAGCTCAGCTGGGTGGAGGAGAAAGACCAAGTCTTCTACTGCAGGGAGGAAGATAGTGAGGCACTCTGAACTGTATTACTAGCCACTCAAGGGTCCAGCAAAGATGGTGCTGTCAAAAATCAGCTTCAAAGCTCTGCCACTCCAGGAACAACTTGCTAAAGACTTACTTTGTGAATATTGAATCCTTCTTTTGCACTGAGATGAGTCCCCAGCATGTGGCCTCACTTCATCCCTTGGTGTGCTTTTGGCTGGAAGGGAG